CAGTGGCGTGCAGTCCATATAGGCAAAAAGGCTTTGCTTGACATAAAATGTACAAACGCGTTTATTAAGATTCAATAATAAAATAAAAGTTTGTAAAAAAACGGCTAACATAAATATACATTCACATATACTATACACGGACCGCACGCCTTTGTAAAGCAATGAATGCGCCCCGCACGCACCACGCATGCGCTACTATTCCTTAAATCTTGGTTGTTGGTTGTGACGTCACAAAAAGTATGCAACGCGCATGCGTGAAGGTCACGTGACTATGGTCACAGCAGAGAATAACCATTCATAAACGCAAAAAAGTCATTGCTGCCGGCCTTTGAAATTTATGAATCTGCGCCATCTATTGAATTTTTTGTTAAAACTTCTGAACACGTTCGATATAATGCGAATGTCTTTTTATAATTATGCATACTAAAAAAATATGTTTCAGGTATTTTAATTAAATCTTAACATTTTTACGCGTTGTCGGTTTACAGAAACTTTAAACGAGGAGTTGACTTTATTATTTTAAAAGTAAAAAGGAATAACTTTTGAGTAGCGGCAACTTGACGTTTTGATAACTCAAAGTTTCAAATTGTTATCAACGAATGTTTCTTATTGGAAAATAATAATAAGACAATGACGGAACTCCATTTGACTTATGTAAATTAACGTTTTGTTTTTTTATAATTAAACACTGGGTTGCCTTAATGTTATAGCTATAATTTTTTTATAATAAACACTCAATTGACTACGATGGGTTCATTCATTCCAATGTTTTCGGCCATATTGTTTTCATGTGATGTGCGATCGCTTTGTTTATGTTTTCGTTTAAATTATAAGGAATTAGTTTTAAACATAAAGTTGCATAAATATGTGTAGAAGTAGTTAAATGTATGTGTAGGTTTTTCAAATAGTGTATTTGTTTATCAGTGTCTAGTACAAGTACCTATATTATTCGATTGTGAAGTTTGTGTTGATAATAGATAATTTTTTGTGTTTGTTGAAAGTTAAAAACAGTAAGTTTTCGCAAAAATGTGTCCTACAACGACTAGATTCAGGTAATGACCATAGGCAGTACTCAAGTTACGAGAATTGACCCAAGTCAAAGGTAGGTAATGTAAATATTATGTACTTTAATGGATCTTTTATTGATTTTCTTGTTTGATAATTCTTAAAAATATCAACTTAGACTTCGGGTTGTACTGATTTACATATTAATTTATTATTAATAATTATGTAATGTAATAACAAATGTACCGCTTATAAATACTCGGCTCGGCCACAGCCGGCCGCGCTTGTTATTGTTTTGTTTGTTGGTAGGTACCTACGTTCTTAAATTCGTAATATAATATAATATAATATTATTATGATTTTGAATAGATTATCTAGCAATTCGATAATTGAATTTGGTTCATCAAATTTATGCTTCATTATTAGTATAATTAATAGATGTTCAATTATTTGTAAGTTTTGTTGGCTTATTCCATAGCTGATGAAGTAGTTCACAAAAAATACGCGAGATGTCAGTGTATGTAATTTGGCGACAGAATAAACCACAATATTCTTGAACGCACTTTTCAAAATGTATTCTGTACATGTAGGTACCTGTCTTGTGTGAGTATGATTGTCATTGTATGACCGGGGGGGAGGGGTTTAATCATACGATATTTAATTGCCTACCCTGTCTAGGAAACCTGTGCACGCCACTGCTAAATACAGTCTCTCGCTTCACTCGGGTGGTAGAAGTCAAAAGATGATTGCCCCCGTAAAACAGCTTTCAACCATTTTTTTTTTAAATGTTGCCCCACACTAGGGTTTTCTCCTGTGTTGTAGATGCGTTTACAAACATACAATAACATTCAGTGCGGGAATCGAACCCACGCCACGTTGCGCGGCATCCAGTTGCCCAGCCACCGCACCAACCATGCAGTCTTCCCTAAAGAGGGTTCTTATTTTGTCTATATGCTTAGTATGTTTTTTATCTATTAATACCTTTTTATATATTTTCAGGTACTACTATGATTCAGAAAGGTCTATGTGCCACGCGTTCATCTACACTGGCTGCGGGGGTAATTCTAACCTGTTCAGAACTGCGCGAGAGTGCAGGCAGGCTTGTCTATGAAATATAATATTTTCTATATAAAGAAATAGATTATATTAACCTGTGTATGAAATACATAATTATATTAACGCTTTCCTTACATGACGTGGCCAGCATATTATATCAATCAACTCCCAAATGTCAACTTTTGTTATTATATATTCGACTTTATACCTTAAGATCTAGTTTAAAATCTAATAAAAAAACACAGAAAAGAGTAAGTCTTTCTAGCTGCCTGGCGTACGCCGACGTATCGCTTAATTAATAAATATTCGCTCATGAATATAAATCCCAGCGTGGCTTGAAACTGGTCGAGTTACCTCTCCAAATATTTAAGTGAGCGAATCGCTAAACGTAAAAAAAAATTCTTTTTTTATTATTCCATGCCATCCAAAGGCAGAAAGATATGGCAAAATATTTTACTAGTTCATTTACATACAATAAATGTAAACAAGAACTAATTAAATAAATTATTGAAATTTTTGTTTTTTTTTATATTTCCAAAATTTTAGGAATTTAATAATTTCTAAATTAGACAATCTAAAACAATATTGTATTGTCAAGCTTTCTGCCGCAAATTTCCCTATACAAGACGGAACAAACTTTAAAACAGCGCCATCTCTGTATATTCTTAAGAATGAACTTGTAGAATGTCCCCTACTTATATTTTACTGTCACAGCTATCAGTATTCCAACGTTATTTCATAGATGTCACTGTGTAATTTACAATTTTTAAGTACTTGTTATAAGGTGCTTCTGTGTTATTTTAGCTTAGTAATTATTTAATTGAAGTTCGAGAAAACGGGCACCTAAGACTAATGGTGAATCGAGCATCCAACTAATTGTCTGCAAGCTTCAAATGTAATAAAATTATAAGCTAGATATATTCTCTTCGTCTCGAAAACACATCTTCTCGAAGAGTTTCTATATTCAAACTTCACCATAAAGTTTATATTAAAAAAAAAGAGTAACGGCCTGAAAACAAGATATATGTAAGCATTAATGACCTCGCTTGCTCTATGCGGGCTGGCGATTTTAAACTCATAATTAGAAATTATAAGTCCAAGTCTCGTCATACTCATACATACGCCAGATTCTGAACCAGCATCCTCCTGCATGAAGAAGCGGGCGCCTTCTAGGCCACCACAACGTCCTTTTCTTAACTGTTCAATCCCCATTATGGACCTTATTACCGATGTTTAGCGACTACTTTTGTATGAACAAGTTTTAGGTACGATATATCAACATCTTAACTCAGACATACTTTTGTTTCATCATCATCATCATCAACAGTCTATAAATGCCCACTGTTGAGTAAAGCCTCTTTTCACGCGGAAAACTTCTGAGCAGTAATCACCACGCACGCTCAATGCGAGTTGGCGATTACAATCTTAGAAATAGAAATTATAAGACCGTGTTTCCTCATGATGTTTTTCTTCGCCGTTTGTCACTGGTGTATAGACAATCTCAGAAAGTACATATAACTCGAAAAAAGTCACATTGGTACTTGCCGTCGGTTGGTTTCGAACTCGCTCCCTCATGCATGTGAAGCGGGCGTCTTAAGCCTCCGGGCCGCCACGACATAAC